TATATATATATATATATATATATATATATATGTATATATACATTATTCGACGATTTGACTATTTTTTGTATAACTATTGCAACTATTTTATGGTTATTCGTTATACCTCACTCGGGATATTTTGAGCTGATTTTTAGCGCGTGGCTGAGGAGATGGGAGCTACAAATTATCGGAGAAAAAAATAAAAAAATAAATAAATAAATAAATAAGTAAAAATCAATAAAACATTTTTCGTATTTAAAAGTACAAATTGATAGTTTCAGTTTAAATAGGACAAATTCGATTTGTCAAGTAATAATACAGTGTATATTACTAATATGCTAATTTTTCTCGCTCGTTTACAGAGTATATGTGGTGAGCTTCACGTAGAGGAATGTACATTTCTAAAACGGCCTCCGAATAACGCTTTCGTAATGTATTAATGTAAGATGTGCCCGTCGTTTCATATCTTGTGCAATATTTTTCCAATACAGAGAAATAAAAAAATATATATATATATATAGTATATATATTGTCGCTTCCACGAATTCGAAAGCAAAAAACAGTGTATTCGTCGTTATCGATCGCAGAGAGATCATCGTTGAAAGATCGTTCGAAAAGACTTTTCTCCTCAACCATGACGATTGAATGTCACTGCCAAAATCCCCACGATCGCATAAAAATATAGTATGTACATGGTCGATAGACTAGACGAGCGGATGTTGCTCGGTTTCTCGGCTATCCGTTCGTTATCCGCCATCACAAATTTTTGTCATCTTTTCACTATTTTTTTTTTCTTTTTTTTTTTTTTATCTTGTGTGTATTTATTTATTTTTCTTTCTTTCTTTCTTTTTTTTTTTTTTTTTTACAAATTTTAGCAATTTTTGTCGTTAAAAAAAAGCCCGTGACACTCGCTCTTCTCCATCCTTGTTTGAAATCTCGTCGCGAAGAGTGAAAATGCCGAAGAGTGAAATGATCGTTAAATATTTTTTTCGAATTATCAATCTCTCAAGAATCGCAGAAAGAAGAAAAAACGACGTGTATATGATATAGTATACACGATACAGTGTGAATATTTGAAATTCATATTTTTGTTTTTTTTCTCTCTCTCTTTTTTTTTCTTTTTTTTTAAATATACTGAAACGTGTTATCGATCTACTTTTCTTTTCTGCTTTTAGACGTATACGTCTACCACGTATATGGAATAATGTACAAAATAGAAAAGAAAGCGAGATGACGGGTGCACATTCCATGAATATAATTATACATAACTTATATAAAATAACGAATCTGTTAGCGTTTGTTAAGACATCCGAGTAAGATATATTACACGCAAAGATAACAAACGAATAATATATCTAAAGTTTGAAAGCTTACGAATAGACTCGGTTCATCATTATCATATATCGTGATTTTTATGTCATGTTCAATAAATGAGTTTTAAAATATTGATACAATGTGTTTAATATTCGCACGTCCTAAAAATTTTTTTCATCGTTTTTTTTTTTTTTTTTTTTTTTTTTTTTTCTTCTAGGATCGATCCACGATAAAATTCGTCGTCACGATGATATCACGTATTCGTAACGTTACGAAACCTTACGAAATATATATATATAATTTCAACGCGAAGTTGCTTAAATCTATACAATGTGCAAAATACGTGATATTTCGGATTATCATTGTGACTCGTGATTCTTAACATTCTTTAATTATAATTCTTCGGTATTATCTAACCACGATGATGATAACTATGATCGTATCGATGTATTCGACAAATAATGTTTGCATTATATATATATATTTTTTTTTTTTAGAAAATGTTTTGAGACTAATTAAACAACAAATTCTAATCTAAACGTAGTAGTAGGATCGATCAAGGCAAAAGTCTGTCCAATTTTGTTTTCGATAATTTTTATCTTTTATAATAAATGCCATTCGCTTAAAATAATATTGATTTTATTATTCGATATTTAGCCACAAAAATGGTGAAGGTCTATCCATTAAGAATACAAAATCGGTTCAATTTTATTTCAAGATATCGTGAATTCAAAGTAATTCGACAGGTAGGTAATAACTATTTACTTGTCTTGCAAATAACTCGAAAATTATCGATTATCGAAATGATATTGTGTGACATGGTGGATTGGAAGAAACGTGACAAGGAAGGTGAGTCAAGCATTTCGATCGTAATCCTTCCAGAATTTTCCACGAGGCACATTTCACAAATGCATTCTTCAGATCTCTGACGATTTCAGAGAGAGAGAGAGAGAGAGAGAGAGAGAGAGAGAGAGAGAGAGAGAGAACGTAGATCGGATAATTTTGATCTCGCGTTCGCGTCATTGTTAACGTCACCGTGGCCGGCGTTTGCTTCGTAACGTAATAACGCGACGAGTAACAATGAATCAACGAGCATTTCCACAAAATTTGCATTGCGAAATTGATTACCGTTTTGTTCGCTTTTTATCAGAAACGTTAAATGAGAGATAATGCACGATTCACGGTTGCGCAAGAAAAATTCACAGGTAATCGTAACCGGATAATGTTTACGATCACGCTCGGTGAAATATTAGAATTGATGAGCATTCTTAAGAAAAGAACTCGTAAGACGAAATAAAGAATGGAATAAATTGTTGGAATTTTTTTTTTTTCTTTTTCTTAACTTTTTAAATATATATATATATATATATGTACATCTCTTTGATGCAATGAAACAAAAGAAATCTATTATACGTTTTAAATTAAATTTGCGTAAATTTTTCGTAAAATTTATTCGGAAAGTTTTTTTCTTTTTTTTTCCTTCGACCGATCTTTTATTTATTTCACTTCTCAAATGATTCAAGCTTAAAAAAATTCAACTTGAACTTTTGTCCTCTTTGTGACGTTTCGAAGAATGGTAACTTGTCACGTTAATAAAAGCGATATTTACAAAAAATTTTAACAAAGAGAGCTGTACGGAAAAATGTGTGCTCTACGATAAAATGCGCGAGTGAAAAATTATTATCGATTGTAGATTTTTATCCGATACGTCAATACATTATCGAAAACGTTGAATCATAACGCGGTAAAATAAAATGCAATATAAAAATCCGAAGAACAGATTAAGAATAAGAATTATAAGGAAAGAATTTAATCTCAACTTAATCTCTGATCTCTTCGAGAAAAATCATGGAAATGAATCGATTCGATGACAAATTCTAAAAAAAGAAAAGAAAAATCGGTTAACCTTCTTTTCTTAATCCGATTCAACGAACGAAGAAAAATAAAAATTACGTGAAATTTTTGACGATCATCGATCAGCTTGAAATCCGTATATTTATATGCAGGCAGCGTGATTTCTCAGCGATAGCGATGTCGAAAGACGAGAGAGGAAGAAGAAGGGCTGAATGCACGCCAAACACGTCGAGCCAATACTCGACAGTCTACGCCACTGGTTTTCGCGAATGGAAATTTCCACGATGCGAGGAGGAGTCGCTGCGCGCGATGTGTCACTGTTTGACTTATTAGAGAGGAAAAAAAAAATTGTACCGGCAAATTGTATACAAGGAGTAAACACGTGGAGGGCAAGATCACGTTTTATACGTACATACACACATACTGCTCGTTTATGGGTGCAATTTGTCTCGATTGATACCGATCGATATACGCGATCCTATTTTGGAATTGGCCAGAACAAGAGAGCTAGAACATAAAGACACACAGGAAGGAAGTTGTAATCGTAGAACGATTACACCCACCACGCATTATCTCGTCCCATTGCTGTTCTAGCCTTGCGCATAGGCTCGATCGGTAAATTAACTCGTCGTATCCTTCAAAAATCTTCCTCTAAATTCCTTTCCTTTAATTAATTTAATACGTCGAAACAAGCGCAAGTTTCATTGCATTATATAGTATATCCTTTTCTTTTAATCCTTCAAGTCTCATGGATAGCGATCTCTCTAACTGATCGTAGATCACTTCCTTTCCGCTTGGCCATCTTCCATTCGGACGGATTACGCCGTATGACGTCGACCTTGGGGCGAGCAAATGGTATCCTGTCCTTGGCCGAAGTTGCGGTGGAATCCTACCGGTAAAATCGTAATCGGGATGGCGGTTCGATATTTCGAACGGTATTTACAACGGAGCCTCTGTTGCATACAAAGTGGCGCGGTTTGCACGAAATCGTGCGTCTATTTGGGGAACGGAGACGCTCGGAATCGTAGCTATTTGTAGAATGACCGGTGTCGTTCCCGAAAAACCGTCCGCGCACAGTTGCGAAGGAAACCGCAAGGCGATGAACAGAGGGCGCGATGGGATGCGTTGTTCGAGCGAGCACGGTGGGACAAGCACAGG